TGGATATTAAATTTCTTAAGATCAAAATTGAAACTTTTTTAGTCCCAAAGAAACTAACCGTTGCCTACCAAAGGCACAAAGATTGGATTTGTTGTGCGGAGATAAGTGACTGTTTTAAGAGCTGGTGTTCGTTGGCCAGAAACTACAGTTAACGATCTTTTGGTGCCATAATTGTTGCAACGAATTTACCAGTGATTAGACTTCAGAAAATACCAGTATCTGTTGCTGCTCTGAAAATTTTGCCGCATCCTTCCTAAAGTAATACTGTTTAAAATGAGAGAAAAAAAAATTTGAAAAAATAAAACAGCAAAAAAATTCCTTCTTTAGATCCTCATATGTTTCTATTACTTGTTTAACATTCTTTCAGTCAACGATGTAAAATCGAACAACTATTGCTTCTTTTTATACTTTTCAAAATCAATAGTTTAATCAGTGACGTAAAAGCGGCAATATTCTTGACCCAGTAGAGGCTATTTTAAGAAATAAATGATTTTTTTTTACACCATCATTTTTGCTACAGAGTCTGGTTATTTGATGCTCAAAAACATCAAGTTTTAAAAAATTTCACCTCTTAAAAACTTTTTTTTTTTAGTTGCTTTGAAAACAATTTTCTCTCTCTTTTTTTTTCTTCTTCTTCTTCCTTTTCCTTCCTCTTCCCCTCTTGTTCTTCCCCTTTTCCTCTTTCTTCCTCATATTTTGGTATTTCTAGAGATGTGTAAATAAGGAAGCTCTGAACTTGTAATAGAGAGTAAACGAACAATTTATTCATAGTTGATGAATCACTTAAACCACCAGCTTCTAAGTGTTGAACAGAGCAGAAGAAATTAAAACATTTTTCAGCAAGGAATTCTTAAAAAGCTTTTTTTTTTCTTTGCACTCGGAAACAAGATGAAGAGGGGAAGACAAGTTGATAATTAAATTAAAACGTAGAAAACTCTCAAATATTGATCAAGAAACCATGTTTAGGTTATTGTTCATAAGCAAAATGTTGATTTACTTTGTCCAGTGCATTTTTTTTTTGAGAAATTTTTAATGAAACTGAACAATAATGACAAATCTAAAAATCTATAAATCATAAAGACATTTGAAGAAAAAAATAATTAATAAAAGGTAAGAAACTGTGTGTTGTTTGGATTTCTGTAGATAGAAGTATCTTTGGTTTGAATAAACAAAAAATGCTTATCAAAACGATAAACTAAGCATTAGGGTAGCATTCAGAAGAAAAAACGACGTTTTGAAGGTAAAAATTTAAAGTGTCTAACAATTATAGCAACAGATGCTCATAAAAAACAAAGACACTTTTGCTTTTGATAGTTGAAAAATTATGAGCTTTAACAAATGGCACGCTTTAATCTTCGTCTCTTTTTTTTTTTTCTGTTCTTTTCTTTTTTATTGAAAATTGGTAATATTAGCGGCGTTAAATCAGTTTGGAAAAAATACAATTTGTCACAGAAGAAAAAAATTTCAGCTTTTATTTTTAATCATCACACAATTTTTGACTACTTTTTTTTTTTTTTTTGTTAACTGTCACATAAATGCTGCTGCCAAAATGATAAGTAACCAGAAATTGTTCTGTAAACAAGTGAAGATAAGCATTATTTATATTCAAGAATTACCTAAGAAAAAAAAACAAAATTAATTCATTATTAAAGCATTTTCTTTAAAG